GAGAAAAGAGAGAGGAGAAAGAGGAGAAAGGGATGACCCCGGACCTACGTCTCCTAAGTGGTTTCGCTTGTGGTGTGTTATTATCATTGCATGTACGTGACACGTGTCTGCATTCGGGTTCGTGGCTCCTAGCTGGTTTGGTACCAACATTAGTTTTTACAGCAAGGAGCTAAGAAGAGTGTTTTATTAACCCCAACCCGAAACAAGTAGCGTAGGCTCCTAGTTTTGGTGGTTGGATAAACCAAACCCTTTTCTTAAAGCCTCTACATTATGACCCCCTTAATATGGCAACTTGATTATTATTTACCACGTACCCATATGATGGTAACTTAATTTAAGTTATTCCTTAATCTCCCAGTTAGAAGCCCTATCAGTACTCTATTCCCAATCACATTACCAGAACCTAAAAAGGCGGAATTCTTGACTTCATGCCCACTCTCGACTCTGGAATTCCTGTACCCTCTACTTGCTCCACCTACTCCCCATCATTACCCTACTAGAGGTAAGGAAGGAGTGGAAATTGGAGATTACTATTGCGAAGCATATAAACAGGGAAGCCCTGTTACCAATAGTAATTTCCATCTTCTGTTCCTTTTCCCATCCCTATATTCCCCCCAAAATTCATTATCCCTATTTCAACCCTATATTCCCCCTGAAGCGAATACTTTTAGTGCTCTGCAAGCCAGGTGGCAGCTTGCGAGCTTGCGAGACCGTTGATGGGGAGATGGGTGCTGAGCTTAGCAGCTGCTGGAAATACATATTATGTATATATATATATATACATATGGCTAGGTGTATATATATATATATGTGTACATATATATATACATATGTGTACATACATGTATAGATACATATACACACATATATATACATATATACATATTGGGGGTAATATGTGGGATACTGGAAAAGAGAATGGAAACTATTGCAGTATGATAGGGTATATGTTGAGGTAATATACCCAGGGGGAGGCTTCGTCGGGTGGGAGGCTTCCATGCTGATGCTTAGCAGGGAATAGGGAATGGAGAGGGGCCACTATATATATTAGGGAGCTTGAATTTACTTGCTTGCGGTCACTTGGGAATGGAGTCAGGGAAAAAGGAAAAAGGAAGCTACTTATCTAAGGTGTGGGGTTGATATCTGATTGATGGATCGGACGGTAGCCCGAGATCATTCTACGATATTCGTATCCGAGATCTTGTATGGACTACTACTGCTGAGTTCCGTTCCCGCAGTCCCTACGAAGCAGCAGTAGATAAGCTGGAAGGGCCAGCTGATCTCTAGGCGGGACAGGTTTGGAGCATGGGTGTTGGTCGGCCAAATACTTGTCCTTATCATTCAGAGTGGCACATCCAGTGCGCAGAGGTCAAGAAGTACCCTTGTATATTCCAAATATCAGGACTTCTGAGACAGTGTTTCCAAACAGTGACAACTTCCATCTTGCAACCTCCAAGCATTGACCAATCAGCAAGCTAGCCCCGGCCAGGACGAAAGAAGAAGACAGCGAATGAGGAGATGCCACCAGAACCTGTGGTGGCCTTCGAGGTCAACACTGCAGGGTTGTGAGTCTAAAAGGCTTATAGAGATGCTCTCTCGGGTTAATATGAGCTATAGTCTAAACTCCTATTATCCCTTAATAACCCCTATATAACCCCTATAGTAGTCCCCTATATAATCCCCTATATAACCCCCTTTAAGGAGTTTGGATTATGGCTCATATGGGCTTCATGACCCCAATACTGGAGAATCAAAGGGAAAGAAAATGGGAGATGAAAATGGAAATGAGCTCATCATGAAACCCTACTTAGTCCTCGCACCCTCACCTGCAGATCCAGCTGATGATATTGTCAATACCAACTTTATATCCAATTCCTACAGCCGTGTTCCGGTCAATATGTAGCCAGCTGAAATCTCTGGGCTACAATCCCCACACCCTGCAACTGCAAAACCCCACGATCTGGCAACAAGATCCGAAATCCCCGAATGCATATCTCCTTAGCCCTCAGGCTCGGAGTACTCTAAACTGGGTCATTGTTAAGTATAGCTTATACTTTGTACTTTACTGAATACCCAGCAGTGAATATCAAAGTGTAGTTTCTACTAGTATAATAAGGAACCAGATCGCACAAAGCGCGTTGAAGAACCTGACAGGAACGGCCTCGAGATTCCAAGCAGAAGAAGGCACAACGCGAGCTTGGGATTCTTTTGGAGATCCAGTTGCTGATATTTGGGGTTTAGGGTTTCGGAAATTAGGGGTACCACTGGGAATCCCCATAATAAAAAGCATTGAAGTATGTTGGGGTCCCCCTACTTATGGAAACTACCTTTAAATGTCAACTTCTTCCGAAATTCCTGCAAGTGTACCGTAATTATAGTGAAACTAGGATCCCCCGAGGGGGCGAGTTCGAAAGCGTTCCCTGGAAATACGGACTCACTGGTTGTTAGTAGGAAATATGGGAATATGATCCCCATATGACCCCTACATAATATACTCCCTCATTCCCTACTAGCCCCAATATATACCTTATTGTAAGGTAGTAGTTTCCATGTTCTTTTCCATTTTCCCCACATAACCCAAATATATGACTTACTCTACACCCGATAAAGTCCCCTTATTCCCTACTAACCCCGAGCTGTATTACTGTATTCCCTATTACCCGCCAGTAGGTACAGGCAGGGAGGGCTCTGCTTTAGGGAGCTGTGCTGGTGGTTGGGTTGCTAGAATCCGGAGTCTGCTTGGAATAACAGGGCAGAAGGTTCGGCTGAAAGAACAAAAGAGTCTTTGGCCTACTTAGTGGTGGTTTGTGGGGAATGAAGGAATATGTTATATAGCGATTATGTGGGGAGTATCTTCCCTTGTTCTCTACTATCCCCCGGTAAGTCTAAACCCAGAACCCTGTGAGGCTACCCGCCTCGTCATTCCCCACTTGAAGACTTCCTTAACCCCACATGTCTAGAATCAACCAAACCTTTCATGTTTCATGCCCCCTCATCCCTGCAAATCTCGAAATCGCCACTAAATGCGTTATCTACACGCAAATATCTGCTATCCTGAGTCCCAAACCCTGAACCCTAAGCTAAACTCTAAATTGTATATCCGTCGCCCTACATATAGAGCCCTGTATACCCTCCACGCTCTACAACCCCCCCAACCCCAAACTGTATATGAGCTACAGTCGGAATTCTTTAAAGGGGGCTATATAGGGGGATGATGCTGGGAAAAATTATGGGGTTTTCTAAGGGGAGATGAGTTTAGACTATGTGGCTCATATGCTTAACAGGAGCGAGACAAGTACGAGACATCATCAGAGCCCGACCTCGAGCCGAAGCACCACGACCTGGACCCAGAGCCTACAGAATCAAGCTTCTTCTTGCCCAAATACAAGGGTTTAGGGTTTCTGGTTTGGGGTTTCGGGTTAGGGGTTTCGGGTTAGGGGTTTGGGGTTTAGGGTTTAGGCTTTCGGGATTGGGGGTTGGGGTTTAACGCCTCTTCCCCACGTACAAGGCTTCAGGGTTTGAACACCAGGTTATGTGTCTTGTCTATCTAAAGTAACTTATTTTTGGTTAGTAGGGAATAGTGGAATAGAATGCCTACATAATATGTCCCCTATTCCCCTACTAGCCCCAGTTATGTAGAGGATTCGGAGGTCAGGGTGTTTCAGGTTTGGAGAATTTACTTTCTCAGAGCAAGATTTGAACCTGAGTCTGGCACTTTCGTTTGATCCACATGCCTCAAAGACCGGGGTGATGAGTAAGCCCCCTTTATCCCTTTGGTTGGCCCTTGGGGGGCCCTAAGTTCTTTATAAAGAATAAGCTATATTCAACAAGGGTGACCTTTTTAGTCTCAGGTTGCTGGGAGGGCCCGATGATCAACTAAGATTTTGAGAAAGCTAGGCCTAAACCCCTCAACCCCAAGCTTCCGTCATTCACCGGGTCTGTCTCAGTGTAGCCCGGAACTGGCTGTTTTTTTCTTCTTCTTTTCGTTTCCGTCATCGAATGTTGCACCCGCTGCACCAAGGCAGCAACCATGCCGAAACCATGACTAAAAGACACATCAAAACTCACAGGTTCCCAAACCATTGACTGCCTCTCATACTATCCCCGCACAGGTTCCCAAAAGTCTGGTAAGGGAACCCATCCGAATCCTAAGCGACAGGATCCAGACATCCAGCAGCTTGCGTATACCTTCAAGATCGATGCGGGCCTGACCCAGAAGTTGAACAACATTATGATTGAGAAGAGGCCCAGTCAGGTTCAAGGTGATTTCCTACCCCCCTTGATAATAAGCCCCCACCCCACCCCCCAACAAAAATGTCCAAAATAGTGTGATTGCAACGGAAGGAATATTTGTTGGTAGGGGGTGGGGAGGTTCATTACGAGGTTGAGGGGGTTAGGGGCCAGTCTTCAACAAGCAGGGGTGAAGACAGCCATTTGAAAGAGAAGCTTCCGACAAGCACTCAACAGAGCCTTTGATTGGAGCCCTGCCTCAACCCTTTCCTTTCAACCCTTCCTTGGTGAACAGATTGCTTTTAGTGCCTGTGGGATGGTCGGGAAGCCTAAGCAAGGAAGCTGCATGTGCCATCTGCTTGGGGAATCCAAGGAGCTTCAGCTCCGGGCGTGCTAAACCTGCAATAGATTGTACAGACTAATGCAGGGAGATTACCCCCCAATAATGGAGAATCAAATGGAAAAGAACATGGAAAGTCAGGCAGAAACCGGGCGTGCGTATCTATATATACATACATGTATACATACAGTGGCTATAACTCATTTCGTATGGCTTAGGTCATTCCCCCTTGCAGAAACCGTTACCACCATTGGTAGTCGGAGTTCTGCCAGCCCTTAAATAATACCTTTTTAAGGACAGCCACTGCAACGTGGAAATTCGTCTTCCCTTAGAAGTACGGCTCCCTCTCCACCAGTGGTGCCGGAAAAACGCCTGTTGTCACCGCTCAAACCCCGCCAGACTGCAAGCTCCATGCTATCAGCGACTAGCTAATTTTTGCATGGCGGAACCCCCTTGACAGGGACCCAGACCCCTGGAGGATCCACAGTAGATCCTCCCAAATAGGGTTTAGGGTTTAATTAGGTCCTCCTTTCAAGTTTCCACTTGATTAAAAGCCTGCACTTCTTGGTGCCTCCAAATTGTTGACTTATCTGGTCTTAGCTATGTTGTGTTTGTTGTGTGTATAACAGCTAGACAGCATATATATATATATATTTGTTTGAGTAGTTCCACTTTTCTTTCCCTTATACATACACTCATATATATATATGTGTGTATATGAATATATTTCTGAAGTGTGTTACGCCGTGGTGGGCCACTTTCTCACGTAAAAACATTGTTTTTTGATGAATGTTCGTAATTTTTACACAGAAATCTGGTTCCTCACAAGTTAAGTAACCCTACCACATAAGCCTTGTACTTTTATCGACTTACACATCCAAGAGGGTAATGTGCACAAACGTGGGCCCTCAGGGCGTCATTTTCGATGTACATATATATATATATCCTAATCGAAGACCTATGCCCCTACATGATCCGTTCCATTTTGGCGAGAAGATCTCTTTAAAGCCCTGGAGAGAGAGCCATAATCCTAAAAAAATCCCCCCTCCCACCTTCCCCCGCCCCTTTCTTAAAACCCTAAACCCCTAAACCCAAAACATTTTGGGATTTCTAAGCCCTATATCCACCCTCCCCCCCCTTAAACCCTAAACCCTAAGCCTTTTTGGGATTTCGAAGCCCTATATCCCCCCTCCCCCCCATCTTAAACCCCAAACCCCTAAACCCGAAGCTTTTTTGTGATCTCTAAGCACCATAAAGCCTGGCCAATAGGATGAATACCTGGGAGCAAGACTTGGAGAGGCTGTACGAAATTCTCAAGGAGAGCATGAGCTTGGGTTTAGGCTTACGGTTTTTTGATGGATTTTGGTGGATTTTAGGGTTGTTAGGGTCTAGAATACAGGGTTGAGATCAGGAGTTTGGGAGGCGGGTCCTTTCTGTCTACATCCGATGTCCATATAAGCATTACAAGTCCTAGGTATATTCAACCGGAGGATTGAGCTACGCACTGAATTCAGGTTGAGGGCACCTACAGAGGGATATATAGCGAGTATAGGGGGACCTACTTATAGGAACATACTAGAAGTTTAGTCCAGGGGTCATATCCTCGCTGGTCTTTCAGCAATGCCGCCTGCAGGAATCTAATGCAAGCTTGGGCATTTCATTGCTGAATGTCACATCCTTTGGATTGAACCCTTAGCGCTTAGCGGTGACAAAGATTATGCTGGTCAGTTAAATGCTCGAGCTTCCAAGGATCATAGCAGTCTGTTACTCACCTCAGCCTCGGCACGTTTTCCAAAAATGTGCTAGAGTTGTAACAACAGTAACAGCAACAATCAAAATAATAGTACTAGTAATAGTAATAGTGATAGTAACAATTGTAACAATGTAACGATTGTAATTGGATTTGCGCTACCGTGCCATCTGCAGGACGCGCACACCCCCGCGGCCATGTTGAATTTGAAGGTTAAGGACATGCAGAAGGGAACCTTCGTGGGCAAGGCGGCTCCCAGGGCTCATAAGGAATGAGGGAATATAGGGATATATCCTACTATAGTATAGGGATATAATGTATATATATATATACTACTATAGTATATTAGGGGTATGTAGGGATGATGGAAAATGAAGTGGAAACTACTATAGTATATTAGGGTTTTATAGGGATAATGGAAAAGAAAATGGAAACTGCAGTGACTATTGGGGTTATATAGGGGTTATATAGGGATCTATCGGAAAATCTGATGAGCACACAGCAGGCTGCATGTAAGTGTCAGGAGGACTTCACAGAGATGAAGGCCTTTTGCAGGCATAAGCTGCAGCATGTGGGCGTAAACAGGTATGATGAGACGCACTTGCCCACGACCTTCCATGCAAATTCACAGGCTCTTTTTGGGGAACCCCTTGCTGAGAACTTGAGGGTGCAGCACCTTCAGTAAATTTTGCCCGAGGAGGTTGGATCAGTTAGTACTTGTACTTATTGGGTGCCCATCTCATGATCTCGACAGCATTGATGAGCTTGTTGCGGTAGGGCATTTCTGCGCGTCGCGCACGGGGCGGCCTTATTTGTGCACGCCACAGGTTGGGCCACGCACAAGAGATCCTACTCTGAAGCCAGCTCCACATGCACTATAGTCTAAACTCCCTGAAGGGTTATATGGGGTAGTATTGTAGGCGTTATGAAGGTGGATACCAGGAGTTCCGACCATAGCTCACATGCACTTTCTCTTACAGAATCACAAGGGGGCCTCAGTATATCACAGGTAAGGTGATTCTTCCAGTTCCTTCCTACTTTCTCGGGATCTCCATCCCTTAATCACTGAAAAACTCCTGAATTGTCGCCCCCATCATTGCCGAGCCCAGTGAGTGGACCTTTGATTTTCAAAACTCTACACCCTTCGTATACCTGTTTGCTCCCCTGTAAATGTCTATAGAACCCTTGATACACCCGTTTAAACAGACCCCCAAGTGGCTTCCTCCAACACTCAGCTTGTGCTGCTGTTTTTGCATAGGCGAAGTGCGGCCCAAGAGTGAGAGAGCTGGCGCGAAAGCCAGGGCCTCAAAGTCTCTTCGAGGTCATGCTTACTGTTGACGGGTGTAAGGGCTAAGCATTTAAGGGTTTGGGGGTGCTGTAAAAGGCATGTAGGCTTCAAGGGCGTTCGGGTTCAGGCTGTATGGATGGCAGAAATCTTGCAGCATTATATGGTCGGTTGTGAAAATTGTGGTCGCTTTTGCGGTGCTTGTATGATGATGCGGCTCCCAATATTCCGTGTTCAAAACGGGACCAGTGAAAGCCGCCCGTGTGCCATCCACCAAACTTTTTTTCTGAGGAAACCATCCAGTACTGCTCTTTCCTTGATGTTTGACTTTCAGCCACCCTCAGTACTGACTTATTCCGATCTTGGTATTCCGCAATCTATTCGGAATAATTAACATGTTGAGGGGCGGGGGTGCTTTAATGTGTTTTCATACTCGGGGAGGGGATTACTTGTGGATTCTCCTCTCAGGTTTTGCCTGAATGCGGGCTGCTTCAAGATAATTAGGGCCAGCAAGACCCTCCCACCGTCTCAGAACTTGCGGCCCCAAAACATTGTAGTCATGGCTTCAGGAGGGACTTGCACAAAAAGGGGCCCCCAGTTTTCCGATGGCCTCAACCCCAACACGAACCCCAAGCCTTCTCCAGGGTGAGCTCTGTAAGCAGCTTGAAGTCCAAAACTATAGGGTCCCAAGACAAAATCCTAAACCCTCAGACCCCTAAACTGGCCTTTGGTTAGCTTGGAATGAAGGAATGGAAAAGAAAATGGAAACTACTATAATGGGTTATATAGGGACTACTACAAGGATCCATTCCTTCATTCCTAGGTGACCAAAGGCCAGTAAATCCCTCAACCCCAAAGCCCCTAGACCCTGAAGCCCGGTTTTTCGGGAGAGACCCGAAGCATCTCCTGAATTGCTTGCAGGCACAGGCTCGATAAGGGTGCAGCCACGAAACTCGAGGAGGCCCATGCGCATGCGTTCTGAGGGCTTAGTGTTTAGGGTCTAGGGTTCTTAGCTTTAGGGTGTAGGGTTTAGGGTGCTTAGTTTTAGTGTTTTGGGGGGGTCGAAACTTCCAACAAAAAGGGTTCTATAGAGATTGGGATTTGTGGGGAGTATATGAGCAGATTATGGGCTGTGATAGTGGGTTTGAGGGCCATATAGGGATCATATAGGGGTTCAAAATATATAGCAGTTTCCAGAATTAGGGGGACCTTATATAATGTGGACCCCAAAATACAATAGTCCTGATTGCTGGGACACCTCAACAAGGTACCCTTCATCTTGCCAGACCCCATATAGGGATTTTATAGGGTGGATACAGGGATTATTTACGGAATTATCGCCTAACCATGGAGAATCAAATGGAAAACAAGGTTGAAGTGAAATGGAAACTATAGAGGATATATAGAGGGCTTGGCTAAGGTCCGGCTACACTGGGCTTAGAATGGTCATATACGGTTCTATAGCGGTTCATTGTTTCCAGAAATTCAGTTAAGAACGCGCAAAGGGTTTCCTCGGGGACAGACGGGGTATTTTGTGGAGTCCTCATAATGGAAATGTTGGTGAGTGCATGTGATGGGTGTCCAGATGATGGATTCAGATCCTACCATGAGACCGACTATAACCGGACAATGGGGATTTCCTTTATTCAATGTTAGATGAGGCCTGCTTCACCTTGTTTCCAAGAATCAGTAAGCTCCTTTACGGGGGTCACTGAATAGGGCGACCCAGATTCCTCTTTGAATTGAGGATTTGGGGGAGCGCGTGAGGCTTCGGGCATCTCAAAATCTTGGGTCCTTCTTCAGGCTCCTGACCGTAAGGGCTGTGTTGTTTTGGTGGACATGTGACATTGACATACATACACATACGAACACTGTCTTTCAGGCGAAGCCCAAACCTCACAGGATGGTGGTGTGAAAGTTTCCAAGGGTTTTGTGGGCTTCCACAGTGCAATTTCCCTCAGTAAACCACGAAGTGAGAGTGTAGAAGGGCTCCAAAAAAGGAGAGAAAACTAATGAGAGATCCAACGTAAAAAGAATGGCAGTTTGGCATTAGGCTTGAAGTTGTGGGTTCCGGGCCTAGGGTTTATATGGTTTGGAAAGGTCGCGATGGGGCATCGTAACCTGCCAAAACCTCAGCACAGGCAATGTCAATGCGAGAAGCGATGGGCAAGGACGTGGAGAAGGACGGGATCACGTGAAGAGTGCACTTAGCAAGGGTTCTCGGCAAGTTGAAGCTACTTAGATGAGAGTTTAGGTTCCGGGGCTTCAATTTGAGGCTTAAGGTTTGGACTTTTGGCTTTCCTTATGTGATTTATTGTCGAGATTTTCCTTATTAAGGTTTAGGGCTTCGGGTCAAAAGAAGATTCTTTCTGTGGAGCCTAAAACGCCTACATCAACGTACGATGTATATTGGGCTAGTCGATGATGAGGATTCTGCCTGCTTTGGCTTTACCGAGAAAACTTTACACCGTGAAGGGCAACTTTGGCTAAGGATGTAATCCTTTCATGCTGACATTAAACACACACACATACACATAAACCCCTGATATTTAAGATGTCCTCCAAGACATAGGGTCTCTTACGGGAAATAACGAATACAGGGGTGGGGGAGCGTTTGCTAGTAGTACGAGAGGAAACGTCTGATTCGACCAGGTTTAGAAAGTAATTTGGGCTTGCTGGATGAGAGGTTGGTGCGACAGTTCATCAGAACGCTTGCAGGTGCACAATGAGGGAGGATGTCCATCTTGAAGCTTGTCCTTGCATGCATTTGACCCGCTTCCTACGACCAGTTACACGTTCCCCGCACGGAACTGTTGCTCGGCCCGCCGATCTGTTGAAAATATCGAACCACTCGTGATGGGAGAAGGTTATATGATGAGCTGGTCGGTTTCCGAGCAATGTGAGGCTTAGGTAGGGGCAGCAAGCCCATTGCAAGCGTAAAACCTCAAGCCTGGGAAGTACATCCGAACCACACCAACCGTCATATTCCTTGAAATGCTACTCAAGCACCAGCGCATTGTCCATTAATGTTGAGTATTCCCAGCACTGGGAAGATTCATGATCAGGTGGGTGAGGGAATTGTGCAGTTCTATAGGTAAACCCACATATAACCCCTGTGAAGCTCAGTTTCCATGTAGTTGTCAATGTTCTTCTCTTTCTTCTCCATTTAATTCTCCCCCCAAACTTACCACCCTGAATCCTAAACCCTCTATACCCTCATATGTCCCTTCCATAGTCCTATGTAACCATTAGAAACACTCCCAAAAAACTCTAAAGTGCCCGTAAGACCGTATAAAGCACCCGTAACCCCCTATAAAACACACATAAAACTTCTATAAAACACCCATGCACCCAATAAACGACACTCAGAACCCTTGTAAAAACGCCCGTGAAACCCTGTCAAAAATGCATGAAATCCCGGTAATAACCTACACAACCTCTGTTTCCTATTTCCGTATAAAACCTTTTGAAACACCCAGAAAACCCGAAAACAGCGCACAAAGCCCTCTAGAACATCCATAAAACCTCTATTGCCCCAGGATATCTTCCTTCTAACCCTAAACCCTAAACCCATAAAACCTCTGTTGTTCCAGGATATCTTCCTTTTGGACGAACATCTCACCGCCTCCAACAAGCCTTCTGCTCTGATCAGCATGAAGCTTCTGGGCAGGGTAGAAGAGGGTTTGGGGTTTTAGGGTGTAGTTTACATGGGTTTTAGGGTTCAGGTTTTTAGGATTTGGTGGTTTTGGGATTTCAGAGGTTTTGGGTTTTAAGTTGAGGGTTTCAGGTTTAGGGTTTTAGGTTTAGGATTTGACGGTTTTTGGGTTTTGGGGTTAAGGGCTTTGGGCTTTAGGGTTTACAGTTAAGGGCTTTAGTAGGGATTAGAGTTTAAGCCTTAGGGTTTGGGGGTGTTGAGGCTCCTCCACCCCAACAGTGACCACAAGGATTAATGGCAATGATGTTAGAGTCCGTTTATACTCCTACTATGCCACTATTACTGGGTGGAGGCCCAACAAAGTTACCCCATACACCCTTGTGTGGGAGTGCCTCAAAAAGGAGGACCCTGAGGACCCCAGACATCTCTGGTGGTTATGGGAGATTCGACTTGGAGCTATATAGGGCATATTTTGGAGGCTCTCTCATATATACTGAGTTTATATGGTATAGCAGTTTTTAGGGAAAGCTTATCTCCATACAAGTTTGCGTAAACTTGGTGCATGTAGTGGCGTTCAGCGAAAAGGCTATCCGTATAAAGCCCTGGAAAGAAGCTGTTCAAATGTCATCCCTACAAACCCTTGACTGAGCTGGTGAGCTAGGTTGATCTAGTGGCTTACGGGGAAAAAGATTGTCCGTATAAGCTCTAGATATGTTGTGTTTGTAGATGGTTTGTAGGGACCCTGGTGAAGGGGGGACGAGTGGTATTAGATGGCATGTCCAGCCTGAAGCAGTTTTGGTGACTAGGCAGGCAAGGGGGAGACTAAGCAATAATGGGATCAAATACTTACTTAGCCAATAGAAGAACTTTAACCTCTATGGCTTCCTGTTTGGGTCCCTATAATACAGTGTATTTTTTAGAAGTATACTGAGATCGAAGCCTGACTGTGCCAACACCTTACTGTAGTTCCATAGGCCCCTACATCAGCTTGGACAAACTTGTGGTCGCTGCAGATCCATCGTTGTGCTTAGGGATTTAGACTTGGGGCTTAAGGTTGAGGACAGATTGTTGATCTCTTTTGTGTGGAGTAGATCTGGAAATCCTTGTTCTGGTATTCCTGGACCACATAAAGAGACAGCCAACAGGAATACAGCATATCAAAAGCGCGGAGGTTCCTTAGGCACACTATGTCACTATGCTGAAAGGGTTATATGCTGCTGTGTAGAGATCGCATAGAGAAGGAGGGGAAGTGCAGATTTAAATGCGTCAGGTAGCCAAGCTCTGCTCAATTAAGGACACCTCCTTGCAGGGGTAAGGGGTCATCGAGCTGTGGAGATACCCTTCCTGTAAGGAATGTTCACGCTCCCATGTAAGCCTTTCGTAGCCCCTATCTACCTCCTATCCTCCCCTAGCAGTCTTAAACGCCCAGCGGGTAATGCCATGACAAATTTGAAGGTTCCTCGGTAGTTACAAGTAGGCTTATAGTTGGGATAACTACAGTTGTACCCTGTGTTATCTGGCTTCTATCCCTACTTATAACTTTGCTCATGACATGAGTTGAGGCTACCCTAGTGAAGATCCCTGGTGCTGGGGGCTCTTCTGTCAAAGTATGGCGTGCTTTAAGATCTCAAGACTAGAATAACCTACCGAGGGCTTGTTCGAACTCCTGAATAGCTGTCATTTTGTCCGCAATCATGAAAATCCTGACGGCTCCAGATGGCATAGTGGCGAAGCTCGCAGAATAACCAATGTCATGGTTTCAGATTTCTTGTACAGCCAAGGTTCATAATTTCAACCTGAGATAAGCCGGATCCTCCTCATGCTTACGCTCGACTGGGGATAGACTGCTTATCCACTGGATCGCTGTACTGTAGACACCTAAGATAGTACCAATATTACCCCTTTTTGCTCCCTAGATAATATACCCGAGAATCCTATTAGAATGGAACAGGCCCCTGTATTTTGCTTTCTGGACTCGTCGTACAGCTGCGGACACATTACTGGGGTAAAAGCGACCCATGCATCTACGTCCCTTCCAGGAATGACTTTGCCAAATGATAATCTCAACCTGAAGCTCTATTTGTTGTTGAGATTCTTGTTATTGTTATTACTATTTTCATCGTTATTGGTATTCTTATTATTGTTATTATTATTGTTGTTATTACTACGTACTATTATTATTGTTATTCTGTTGACCCATAGCCCTAAACACGCAACAAGCGGCTTGACATCATAAAGTTTGCTTGAAAGCTCTGCAATCCTGCATGATCATGGTGGGGGACCCTAATCCTTACATCCAAAATCTAAATCCCAGACCCTAAGCCCAAGCCCCAACTTCCCCTATACCCTCAAGATCCCTAACCCACAGCCCACAAGCTTGAGCAACGTAGCCTCAGGCTCGAAAGCCTTCGAAAGGGTTATAACATCGGCCACTGCATCTACAGCAGGGAGCCCGTTCAGGGCAACACCGGCCCAGGCAGGTAATTGAAGGGTGGGGTTTAGGGTTGAAGGTTTAGGGTTTAGGCTTGGAGGTTTAGAGTTTAGGGCTTGGGGTTGCAAGTTTAGGTTTGCAGTTCTTTCCTGGGTAAGTTATAGTTATAGCGGCCTCAACTAAGCTCACCCCGGGCGGGGGTTGATAGATAATCCAGTCCCAAGGTGGCCTTGTTTGGAGGCAGTAGAATTAGTGTAAAAGTGTAAAATATCCAGTATTTCTGAACATGTATCAGAACCTTGGGCTCATAAATCAGCATGTATGACGTATATGGGCGTTTCCTAAAATTAGGCGTGCCATTTTGGGGTCCCTGATATGCAGGCGTCGATGGTGTCGTGGTCACTTGGTACATTTCAGCTCCGTAAGTCTGCCAGACGAATCTCCATCGGGAGCCTGTCCAGGGTGTCGTGCTGAAGGGAGCAGCGGTTAGCCAGCCCTTAGATCCTCTTGAGCTTTTCCAAGCTTCCCGGTTAGGGTTTCAACCATACAAGTTAAGGATGCCTCAAATCGGCCACAGCGCGCCTCCGGTCTCTAACGTGGGCTTGTAGAACGTACGCTGGGACCTACACCTGAACTCCCTCAACCTCCCTCGTTGGTTTGCCCGGGACTTTTTGATTTTTTATCGCCCCCGGGTAACACAAATGCAAGCAGACTGCCTAGGACAAGAAGAACAAGCACACACGCGTCCTTGGATACACGGACGCGGACCTGAACAGCCGATTTGCAAGCACTGACGGCCGCAGCGAGGACAAGTTGAACCATGATTTTTTCCAATGATATTACAACCCTCAGCCCTTGCATCCAAATCCGTATGAGATATATTCTAAACTCCTTCAAGGGGAGTATATAGGGGATTATATAGGGGACTACCATGGGGCTTATAAAGGGGTATACCAGGAGTTTAGACTATAGCTCATATACATTGTAATCTACCACAATGGGAACACTAAGGGGGGTGAGGGCTTTGCATCATTGGGTGCCAGGGATTATACTTCACTTAGTTCAGGGCTTGCACTGGCGCGTGTCCTACTTGCAGGGGCTTGGTTGGCATGATAGAGCCTTGCTGGAGTTATAAATGGGGAGAATGGAAAATAACATGGAAACTACAGGGATCATAGTGCTGATATGGGGATATTATGCTATGTTATAGTCTATTCTGGTATATCATGGTATCTGAGTTAGGAGGCTTCGCGGGCCTCATGGGATCCTAAAAGGAGGCCCCGTTTACAGGACTTATGAGGTCCAATAGGGATTTAGGGGTTTCCTAAAATTAGGGGTACCATTTTGGGGGCCCCCATATTAAGGACTATATTTTGGGGTCTATAGTGGGGTCCCCTGATTTTGGGAAACTACAAACTATCTAAGGACATTAAGGCTTCCTGGGCTCGTTGAGGAGTACTTAGTCTCTTCAACTTGGCCCTACAGTAGTTGCCATGTTCTTTTCCTTTATCGCTATATAACCCAATTATACTACAGTAGTTGCCATTTTCTTTTCCATGAGCCATATATCACCACAAGGATTCTTTAGGGATCCTGCCAAAGCCATGGCGACTCTCAGGCCCTGTATTGTGCCAGGCAGACTCAGCAAGCCAGTTGCTTAGTGGTGCTTAAGGCAGAGCAAAGTGATCCCCATGCAATCCCCATACGTACCGCAATAATAGTCCCCATATTCCCTACCCTTTCAAGCACCAATCAGGTTGCCAAAAGGGTTCGGGTCAAAACTTTCTGGGGCATTGAAACCTTGGCCTGACTCTGACGACTACTGCTATCGTGGCGTCTCTACCACTATTATCATTTCTTATATTCATCTTACTTCTATTACCGCTATGATTCGTATTACCTCTTACCACCGCAACAACGACAGCTACTGCCACTTCTTCTACCATCAGTTTTTCTTTTTAACCCTAAACCCTAGACCCTACACCTTACGGTGTAATTCCGACGTTCCGAACAAGGAGCTCATGGATGAGGCGACTGTCAGGCGACTGATGGCCGCAGAGAAGAGCCGGGCCACTTGACTTACGCAAGTGTCAGAGTAAGGGCTATAGGGGGGGTTTCCCTAAAGTGGGGCTTGTATGGGGGTTGCAAGTGTCAGAGTAAGGGCTATATGGGGGTTTCCCTAAAGTGGGGCTTCCTTTTTGGGGGGTCCCCATAAAAAGGACTATAGTCTATTGGGGCCCATTTTGGGGTTCCATTAATTTGGGAAATTACCATTTAGGCCATGTAGCTACATTCTTTTTATAAGGTCGCCCTTTGAAGAGGCGAAGGGCACATAATCTGGAATTTGCGATGGTTCGGGGCTTGGAGCTCCAGTGTTTGAACGCGAGTTTTGACTCAAAGGCTGAGTCCGTATAAGAACGATTCCCAAGAAGAAACGGAAGGAGGTGCGGTCACAAGTAGCTCATCACGTGCAGGATTTCAGGCTGCGATCGATTCCAATTTGCTTCAGAATGACACTGCTTCTTGGTGACTTTGTCTCGTTATCTTAACCTGTCAGTATACAGGCCGCATCGTTTCGAGGTGCCGGCGGAGAGCAAGATCACAATTTCAAAAAGTAGCCAGTGTGTTTATGCCATGAAGAAGCGATGTTCAATGGTCTGGGAAGGTAGTTTTGGTGTAGACTGTTGGCGCTGTAGCGCTCACATCCAGGTAGCACCAGCAGCCGCAACAGACGGAGTCTCCAAGACTTATCAGGTCCACCACCCCCGCCGGTCCAGCATTTAGAGGTGCCAAGACTTCAGAAGCAATTGTGAAGGCCCAATGTGTTCTGCAGATTGTCGCCTTCCAATGCACAGGAGAACTCCTCTTCTCATAATCCATTATAGTAGTTTCCATTTTCTTTTCCATTATCCCTATATAACCCTTATAGTAATCTAGCAATAACAACCCCAATATAACCCTAACTGCGACTGCAGGGTTTCGGTCTGCAATGGAATTGTCACGAGAAAGCCCCAAACCTCAACTTTAAACACTACATAAGCCTACATACATATATCCAATATTCTCTAAGCATCTCCGTATAAGCCTCAGACCCCAACATTCTTTTCTAAGGTTTTGGGTCTGCCACCAAAGGGAGACAAAAAAGCGAAAGAGCTGCCCAGCAGTGCAAAAGTCTCGGCCAGCCGGAAGAAGAGCGCAAGCCGCAAGAAGCACCAGAGTTGCAAAGATTTAGGGTTTGAGGTATAGGGCCTATAAAGGACTGTAGGGTTAGGGATTTAAGGTATAGGGCTTAGGGTTGGGGATTTCAGGGTTAGGGATTTAAGCTATAGAGCTTTGGCTTAGGGCCTGAAGGCTGAAGGACTGATTTCCTGGGTAGTTCAATGGGGTTATTGTTAAGATGGCTACTTTGAAATCCAGCTTACGGGATTCAATTAATTATGGATGTTTCCATGGGGGACGATGCAGGGTTGGTTCAGCAGAGGTCAGCGCAGCTCAAACGTTTGCATGATTTGGTGGTTTACAGAAATGAAGACCCGTGATTAATAAACCCCTCTCCGTAATGGGGACTATAAAAGGGATCCTAATATTACGGCCCTTAAAAGGAAGGGGTTTATGGATAACCCTGAATAGTAGTTTCCATTTTCTTTTCCATTATCCCTACATAATACTTTATTACACCTATACTACAACGACAAGGCCCTTTAAAGGTGTAAGCACGGGTCTACATTAGACAGTTGCTCTCCCAGGTCTAGGGGCTTTGCTCTTAGTGGTCTTCCAGGATGGTGTTCAAGGTCTGAGGATTTACGGTAGAAGTGCAGTGTTTAGGTGCATAGTAGGGACTATCTCTACGAAATCCCCTTACAGTATCACCCATAAACTGCCCCCGCCCCGTTCCATACTAAGCGCATCAAGCCCTAAACTCTATATATGAGCTATATTGTAAACTCTTCGTATCCCCTTTGGTAACCCCTATAATACTCCCCTATATGATCCCGTATAGATAACCCCCTTTAAGAAGTTTAGATTATAGCTCACATGATGTGGCAAATTCCATTTGCTTCCCAGTCTTTAGTCAACACAAAGTTTGGGGTTATGTTATGTTTATAATCGGGGTTATATTGGGATAATTGAAAATAGAATTGGGGTAGACGGGGGTAAACAGAGGCCCGTATGCACCCTAAATCCACCCCAACCTATGAACTTTGAACGCTAAATCCACTGAAACTTTCACTCCACCCTACATCCTGAGCCCTAAGTTAAGTCCAACACGTACCCTAAAAAACCCAAACCCTCCAAAAACCCAAGCCCTGAACCCAACCAATCCGAGACCTGAATTCTTGAAACAGAACTGAGAGCCCTAAACTTTAATGAATTTTCTAGGCTGGCTATCCCTATAACCCATCCAAATATGATGTTTCATGGGTGCCTGGAGTAGCCCTGCTGTAATGCCTCAACAAAATGGAATTAAACCCTCATGGATCCCTATAGTAGCCTTTATATAATGTCTTCATAATTTGGATATTCTTAGGTTTTCGTGCCAGGAGCAGAACTCGAAGCCCTAAAGCCCACTGGATCCCTCTAGTAGCTCTTGTATAAGGTCCTGTGTAGAGGCACCTTATATAATCCCTGGTAAGTAGGGTTCGTGTATGAAAAATGGGAAAAATTACGTAAGTATATTATTCCCATGTTTCCTACAAACCACCCTAAGCCCTAGATCTTGTCATATGGGGATTCCATCCCCTGATTCCCTACCAAGAAACAGTGCATAATCCTGGGCTTATCATGGGTTCCCCTCCTACTCCCCTCTATACTACCCCCTAGGTTCCCCCCTTAATTAAGGTTACTTAGGGGAACCCACCTTAACCCTAAACCCCTAAAAAAAACTAAACCCTAAAACCCTCAAAACCCTAAAGCCCTAAACCCTAAAAACCTAAAAACCCAAAGGCCCTAAAACCCTGACCCTAAGGCCCTAAACACTAAACCTTAAAACCCTAAAACCCAAAAAACACTAAAGCCCTAAGCCCCTTAAACCCTAAAGCCCTAAACCCCCAGTGAGCTTAGGAGCAAAGCTCGAAGCAGCCGCAGCAAGAGCCGAAGCCGAAGCCGCAAGCGGCGGCGGCGGAGCCTTGGCTACAAGTCTAGGGTTTAAGGGGTTCTATAGGGGTTTAAGGGTTTAGGGGGGAAAGGGTTTAGGGGTTTAAGGGTTTAAGGGTTGTGGTTTTAAGGGGTTTCCATAGGGGTTTTAGGGCTTAAGGGTTTTCGGGGTTACATAACTCGATTTGCAGTTCCCATGCATGTGGTCCATGGCAGGGTTCTAGGGTTTAAGGGTTTCTATAAGGGTTTAAGGGTTTCAAAAGGGGTTTTAGGGGTTTCTATAGGGGTTTTAGGGGTTCTATAGGGATTATAGGGTTTAGGGTTAAGCTGGGTTTTATAAGGGTTGGGGGTTGAGGGGTTATATAGGGGTTTTAGGGTTTTAGGGTTTGGGGTTTTAGGGGTTATACAGGGATAATGGAAAAGAAAATGGAAACTGCTGGAGGGTTTCCAGGTTTAGGGTTTAGGGGTTTTGGAATTTTATGGTTCTTGGAAATTCCTATTATTAAAGGGGGTATATAGGGATTATAGGGTTTAGGGTTTGGGGCTTTAGGGGTTCTAGAGCTTATATAGGGATAATGGAAAAGAAAATGGAATTTATGGGGATTATATAGGGATTGTAGGGTTTAGTCGTTCGATAGGAGGGTTATAGGTTTTAGGGTTCATGGGAACTGCTACTAAGGAGTTTATAGGGATTAGATAGGGGTTATATAGGGATCATAGGGTTTAAGGGTTTAGGGTTAGGGGTTTGGGGTTTTAGGGGCCTATGGGGGTTGTGTGAAGATAATGGGAAAGAAAATGGAAAGTGCTGGAGGGTTTCCAGGTTTAGGGTTTAGGGTTGTTGGATCTTAGGGTTCTTGGAAATTAGTATTTAGGGGTTATATAGGGATTATAGGGTTTAGGGTTTAGGGTTTTAGGGGTGATTGAGGTCATATAGGGATAATGGAAAAGACAATGGCAACTACTATTTAGGGTTTAGGGAGTCTAGGGTTTTGGGTTTTTAGTGTTTATGGAAACTGCTACAAAGGGGTTTATAGGGATTAGATTGGGGTTATATAGGGATTATAGGGTTTAGGGGGTTGCAGTTTAGGGCGTGGACCTCAGCAAGCCTGCAGCAAAAAGGGGTTTTGCGGTTTAGGGGTTGGGGTGTAGGGTTTGAGGTTTAGGGGTTGGGGTTTTAGGGTTTGGGGTTTAGGGTTTGGGGTTTTACGCTTTGGGGTTCATGGTTTAGGGATTCTGCCTTTGGAGTTTGAAGGTTTGGAAGAACAGGGTAAGTAGCATATGGTATTGGAGGTATACATGGGGTGATATAGGCATCCATTAGGGCTTGGCGCCTTTGGCCTGTTAGGGTTCAGATGGCTTAGGGTTGGAAGTAGCAACTGCACTAATAAAACGGCAACCAATTCCACATAAGTTGATGTTGTAAGATTCCATATCATACCTGTTATATAGCTACGACCACGGAACAACTCATGCAAAAAGCATCTGGAATGCACGCTGAGGGCTTACCGCGTCCCAACGCGTAGGCAATCGAAGGGAGTATGTAAATTAGAAGCCTAAGTAATTACTTGTATCATCCTCCCATGATCCTTCTTTACAAAACCAGCCTGCCGTATGCCAAATTCAACCTTGGTACAGCTTTGACATCCTGAACGGCAAACCCTTGACCATAAAATTAAGTCAAAGCCTTATACTGATTCTGAAGCCTTCTACAGCTGAAAATCTTCTACTGCAAAGCTTCCTGAACTTGACGTTCTATCGAGTACTTGATAGGATTTAGGCTGTAGGGCTTAGGTCGTAACATCATGGGTTCCCCTATTGCTCTCCTCTATACAACCCCCGCTAGGTTCCCCCTGAGTTAATTCTTTTTAGAGATAATTGGGCTTAGGCAACGTTAATTATGGGGGAAGCCAGAGGGAGTCGTAGGGGAACCCATGATAACAGCTTCGGTCCCAACATCTGAAACTGTCCAAAGAAGAGGTCTATGAGCTACTGTTAATCTTAGCTTTCTTTGGGAGCCCTTTCAAGGGTTTTTGGTTTAGAAAATGGGATATAGGGGTTAGGGTTTAGGGTAGCTACTGTCAATATTCGCCGTATAATTCGACCCTCACAGTGGACATACGGTTCCCTTTTGTAGTCTAGTATAGCCCCTAATATAGTCCCTAAACATGGAATCCATGTCCATGAATTCTCGGGGTAATACTGACGGTAGCTCCTATGAATATGGCTTGATGGTCATTTGGGTGGTTGTGAAAATTATGGTCCTTCTATTGTAATACGGCACCTAATGTTAGGGTACCCAAAAAGGGACCATAATTGTGACAACCACCCATATGTTGGAGTTAGATACAGGCTGAACTTGTATGCCTGACCCCTCATGGGTCAAATCTGTTGGAGCCTATCCTAAACCCTATATACCTTAAACTCCCAAAACCCTAAACCCTAGAACCCTAACCACCCTAAACCCTAAAACCTTAGACCCCAAGCATGAATGCTTAGACTCTTGGGTCTGAGCTCTTAAAGACCTGGTTCCATTGATTGCGTGACCTCCCCAACCCTGATGTAGGAGCGAAAATGCTTACCACTCACTAGCTCGGTGGCCCTACTGTGAACCCCTCTTCTTGCAGAACTTACCGGTGGTTAGCAGGGAAGAATGAATATAATCCCTATATACTCCGTCACCCTTATTCCCTACTAACCACGAGTAAGAGAAGGAGCACCAGCAGCAGTAGCAGCAGTAGCCGGAGTCGCAGTCGACGAAAGCGCAGCAAGAGCAGCAAGGCCAACCTGATGCATCTTCTGATTTACGGTTTAGGGATGTTCAGGGTTTTGGCTTTAAGTTTAGGCGTTAGGGTGCATGCTTTGGGGTTCGGGTGTAGGGTTTGGTTTGCGGGTTAGTAGGGAATAATAAAGGAGTATATTACATAGGGATAATAGAAAAGAAAATGGAAACCACTATTTAGGGTTTAGCAAATCAGCGAATATGTCAAATGGGGTCAATACAGGGATTACATTCCCTGATTCACCAGTAAGCTGAGGTTTGTATGCGAAATCAGGTTTTTTGGGCTGCACGGTATACCTGGACTTTGACGCATCTTCTGAGGTTCGCAGACGAAGTCAGGACTTCTGGGACAATATGGAACACCGGGCCTGAACAGAGGACTTGAGACTACGTGACCGCAAATTTTCAGATTATGTTTGGCGTCCGTGCAATGTACATTGTGAGAGCCATAGTCTAAACTCCTAGTATCCTCCTTAATATCCCCTTTGACCCCCTTTTCAGGAGTGTAGATTATAGTTCATGTGGAGGGTCTGGACAACTTATCAATGAGTTCAGTCGGGCAGACGGAAGAGATACTGCAAGGGGCTGGCGACAGAACTCTAGCTCAACTTACCAGGTTCCTCCCATGTACTTAGGGCTTAGGGTTTAGGGTCAAGTAGCTTTGCAATGAAGACCGTCTAGCCCCACGAGTCCCGGTAGATTTCCCTAATACATAATTTACTAGAATCCAAAGAATGAGAGATTTTCACTTGAAACAGATCCTTGCCGGCCTTTGACCTTCCTTCCATGGATGGGTACTCATGACAGAAACCATTGGACATCCTTCTTTTCTGCTCCCCAGCTTTGAGCAAAGGGTCTTAAGGTGGTCCCTATGCACATATAGTAGTTTCCCAAAATAAGGGGACCCCAATATAGACCCCAATGTCTAACAATCCTTTTTATTGGGATCCCCAATAAGGTACCCCTAATTTTGGGAAAGCCCCACATTGTGCAATGTCCCCTGACCTCCTAGTACCCTAAGGCCTCTCTTCTTTGCCCCTGCTACAGGCACCGAAAAAGCAGCGGGCCAGCAGCGATTCCAGCAGCTCCCGTCGAAAAGACAAGGGCAAGGACGGGGATTTAGGGTTTAGCGTTCAGGGTTTGAGTGTCTCACTGGGGGGCTTAGTAGGGAATTGTGGAATATAGTCCCTACGTCTTTCTGGGGTTAGCAGGAAAAACGGGATATGTTATTTAGGGAGTAGATACGGACTATATACCATATGATACAATCCTATGCTCATGTTGAAGGCCCTTGAGTCATGTGTGGGTGCGGAACGAAACATGATCTTCAATACAGAAGCATTAAGGCCTTGAAAGTCGAATCATTTGATTTGCTTGGTGTTTCGTGCTTACAGCCTCAAAAGTCGAACCCCTGACCCTACGTTTTGAAGGTTGAAGATCGAAACCACAAAAACCCTGACCCCTGAACCCTAATCAAACCCTACCCACGAAGCCCAAAACAGTTACAGCCCAAGATAGCGGCTGCTTGATGAAAAGGGTTGAGGTAGCCCTACCCACGAAGCCCAAAACAGTTACAGCCCAAGATAGCGGCTGCTTGATGAAAAGGGTTGAGGTAGAAGATTCCAGATTGGGAGGAAAAGGGTTCAGGGTCGGGCTGACCTTAGTTACGCACAAAAGCTAAAGCCAAACTCCTTAAAAGGGGTCATATAGGGGACCATCGTAGGGCTTCTTAAGGGGGATACTAGGAGCTTAGACTATGGTTCAGATCATCTCGCAGTGCTTTTGCACCTCAACTTGGGAGGCCTTATACCCTTACTATCCTGCAGGCTTTTGATTGTCAAACACAAATGACCCAGCTTTTTGGCGGTGTAGGAAAACAAGGCCGTTACCGTTCCTGGTGACCCATATGCGTTTTTTTGCTAAAGGGTGGGATGTATCAAAGATTCAGCAGGTAAGCTTCAGTCTTTCTATTCCCCAAGACGGCATCCATGTCTGTATAGGCCGGCATAGAACAGAATTTAGGGCGGCACCGCAACCCAGACCTTCATGCTTGTCATTGAAGAGGACAAAGCCAAAGAGAAGGAGAAAAAAGACAAAGAGAAAGAAAAGGAAAAAGAGAAGAGCAACAAGAAGGAAAAGCCAAAAGAGAAGGAGAAGCCAAAAGAGAAAGTCGCAGCTCGGCTCGTTATTCAGGATGCTGTTGATGGACTCAGCTAAAGCTTTTGAAATGCACGACTCTGCTCCACAGACTATGTAAGCATTCTGTATTCTGAACGTCTCTGAGACCAGCCTAGGAAAAAGATGACAAGGACAAGGACCGGCAGAAGGAAAGGGAAAAAGAAAAGGAGAAGGACGCCGGAGACTGGGGCGTTTCCGAGAATTCAGGGCTGTGCCATCACAAGGACTAAAGTATATCGGGTGTATTAAGACGGGGCCCTGACATCTGCAACTCCTTATCTGTTTTTCGTTTCCTGTTCAAGGCTCCTTAAGGCTTTTGAGGTTGTAGCGGAGGCCATACCTGAATTTCCACAGAGGCGGTTTGCCAAGGATCATACAGCAGAGCGTTTTAGGGTTCCATTGTAAAGCCATGTGGGCTGGTTCCGGGGCATTTGATTGTGGCATATCGGGGTCATGTAAGGGCCTGCTCAAGAATCAGGGTCCTTCCCAGCTGCTTCGCATGAGAATTTGCTAAATTGCTGGCTTGCTGGGAGGACAGAAAAGCCAAAGATAAAGACAAGGAGAGGGCTCCCACTGCTGCGCAATTATTGCCACCACTGCTACTCAGATCAGCACTGGCACTACCAGAGCAACCACCACGATTACTGGACCACAAATGCTAGTACTAAGCTACGACGGTACCGTTCATACTACAGCCGTCTGCTATTGCTTGAGTCCTCCCACCACTTCTCTTCGTGCAACTACTTCTAATGGCAATAAGGGTTGGATGATGGCACGCAGCCACTATTTTTAGTGCTCCTTTTACCACCACTGCCACCACTGGAAGCCGCCACCCCCGCCCCGTGTTTCGTTTTTCTTCTACCCGCATCAGTATTTCTCGCCTTTCTGGTCAAGTCCATCGTCGGGAAAGATATTCACGGTGCTTCAACCCATGCACGACCACGCGGAAAAATCTCTCCAGAAAGGTGCGCACCGCCTTTTCGACCATGAGCTATCCTGCGTCTACGAGTTTGGTGTTTGGGGTTGATTGGGTCTACCTACCCCACATGTTCGGCTGCGGCTGATGTTGGAGAAATCAGGCATCATTAATTGCCAACTGCCTAGCCCTTTAGTTTGTGCTCAAGTGGTCCCTTACGGCTCAACAGCTGCATACCAGAGCCCTTGCCTTCGCACATGTGCATACATGGCCATGTTTACCTCAGGCACCAACACATCAATGCTTAAGAACTCAAACCCTAAACCCACAGCTGAAGCTGGATTGCTGCAAAAAAGATTAAAATAAGTTGCCATCATAAGACATTCACATTACTCAGTATTTATATATATATATATACATATCCATCGCATTGTAACCTAGTTCAAGTGCCTGAACAGCAGCCCAGAGAAGCCTTAGGGGTATACCGCCATGTCTGGCAGGCCAAAGATAAGGAAAAAGAGAAGGAGAAGGATAAATGAGAAATGTGGAGGCGGCAGGTTGCTCTTTGCCCGCTTGCCTTTGCATCCCTTCAGGGGTTTCCGAGTTTGGGGCTTTGGGTTCAGGAGTTTGGGGTCTAGGATTTAAGGCTAGGCATTGGTTGCGGCTTAGGAACTTGGGTATGAAGTCAGGTCAAAGCCTAGGGAGAAGCAAAGCAAATCTAGGTAGGCCGAAGGGAAGGGTTTCAAACTTATGTCTCCTTGTTGAGTACCCTCCATATTCATGTGGGGCTGTATGTTATAATGGGAACCCAAAAAGGGTGACAGGCTTCCGAAAGAAGAGACTTCACAAAGTTTCTGGTCCCATGAAAATTTGGGTGATCGCTGAAAAGAAAGAGCATTGCCACCCACTAAGCAAGCATGTAACTCCAAAAGAGCCCTGCAAAAGAATATCATTCTTTTGCAACAATGTTTTAGGGGGTTCCAAGTTAACTAGTTCCAGGCAGGCGCGGCTTCTGCCTGCAAAGTGTTCTTTGCACAATTTTCCGCAACAGCGCAAAACAGCTGTAATTTGGACCAAGCCTGTCAGTACAATTTGCCAGAGCTCTAGACAGCATTCGCATCCAGAAGCAGATGTTGGCCAAGAACAGAAGTTAATGTATGCCACAGTCTCTTTCAACAGAGTGTACGCTGCGATTGCCACGAGCCGCTTGAAATCATAGCTTCAAATCTGGATCCAAGAAGTCTGGCTATTCCAAAGTAGAAGCTGCAAGTGCAAAACCCTTGTGGCCCCTCCACTTTTTTGTGGCCAGGTGAGAGTTATCTATAAATATAAAACGCGATTCAACTTCCATATTAGGCGTTTTGTGGTTTCAAGCAGTAGCCAGATCGAGAATCTTCATCCAGAAGACCCAAATCCAAAAACCAAACCTGCTAAACCCACATTCTCAACCGCTGTCCCTAAACCCGGCACTTGTGATGAATTCATCTTGTCCTGTTCCTGGACCCCGGTGATGCACAGACCAGACAGCTGAAGCTTTCTCCTGTCCTCAATCCAGAAAGCCTAATTCCGACGCCTTGAGTCTCAAATAATTCCATCTGCCGCTACAGGCCTCCGCGCGTTTCACTCAACGGCCAGCAGCTCAGTCAACATGCTGCAGGCATTCTGCTGGGTCTTAGATTTTAGGGGCTTGGGTTTTGGGTTTGAGCATGAGGGTTTAGGGCGGAAGATGTAGAGTCTAGATTTTTCTTGCGGCGCAGCGCCGCTCGTTGTAAATGTTGCTTTCACTTGAACGCTTTTCCTCTTACATCATCCTGAGAAAACTCGCCACTCCAGCCTTGACTCCCTGGGGCTTAGGAGGGAATGGGGGAATGGATCCCTATAGTAGTCCCTATATAACCCCTCATAATAATCCCTATATTTCATTCCCCCATTCCCTCCTAAGCACCAGGGAATCTATGAGATCTTAACAAAACTTCACCAGGTCCGCCCGTTGCCGGAAGAGTGTGGGACCAGGGCTTTGTGCAACAAGCACACATTTGTCTAGGGAGCAATTGCCTGGATACTGCCCGCACATGGAAAGGGTACCCCGAATTTTTCGAAACCCCCATACAATGTGGACACTGTATAAGCAACATTGTAGGCTGTCACTGGGTGGGGTCTCCGTGGGGTGGGGGCAGTATCCACTTCGTGTACTCCTTTTCAGGAATGCCCAGGTGAGAATCTGTGAAAGTGTTTAGAGTATAGGCGGTACGCAGGGTTCTGGAACTAAGGGGCAACCACCCCAATATTGGAGAATCAAAAAGAAAAAGGAAAACGACATGGAAGCTGTGTCCATGCAATATGCAGGTGTGGAAGTTTCTTAAGATGAGAGGTACTCTAGGGACCTGGGGCTATTATTAGGATGATAAGAGGGCTCGCGGGTCCTTACTAGGGGTTATTGGCGGTTGTTTTTCGAAAAACCTCCATTGAGAAGATTTTTCATTGTGTGAGCATGTAACCTGAAGAAAGCAACTATGTCAGACGTTTTGTTCTTGCGTGTGTGAAAAGGGTATGGCACAAGAGGGCCCCAGGAATGACGCCTTCAGGTCTTGCCAGCGCAGGCAGCCACTGTGAATACCTCCAGCAAGGTGTCGTAAATTTGACGCTGGGCGCTCTCCGAGCACGAAAATCGGGAGATCCATGAGGTTACATGGGTTTAGTGTTTAGGTGCTAGTCCGCCCCTCAAAGAGTGTTTTTGAGCTCAACAAGATTAAAACATGGCTTCCCAGAGGGGGCTCAAGCCAACACACCTATAAAGAACCCCACCCCTTAATGGTGGTATAATGGAAGAGGACCCTAATATATAGTCACCATTATCCTATATCTGGATGGGGTGTCCACCTCCCTATATTACATAGACCCCACAAAAAGAGTTAATTTCCAGGGGATGTTTAGTAATATCAGGGGTAAGACTTTCTCAGGTTGTTACCCGTATAGCTTCCTTCACGTACTATTATGCATTACACAAATTCTTCGTCACGTGAAACTTTAGACAAAAGCCATAGGCTTAAAACGTTGTGTAAAAGCTCCGCGGGCTAAGGTTTTGTGGGCCGGGCTTTTAATTGGCTCCCTAGCAATAAACGCCCGCCCCCACCCTCTATTTAGCAGGTGGGCTCCCACGCAGCAATGGTGACTATAAGAGATAATGGCGATTATATTAGGGTCCTCTCATGTTCCTATTGTACCACTTTTACAGTGTGGGAGTCCACCTAATTCTTTCATAATACAGTACCTGTGCAACACTAGCAAGCACATGCCCACACCACGATGATGCGAAGCGTGCCAGCGCAATTCGGCATTTGGCTGTGCGACTCGCAAATGCAAAGCATGTGAGCTATAGTCTAAACTCCTTACATGGAGTTATATAGGGAAGTATTGTAAAGCTTCTGACGGGCGATACTAGGAGTTTAGACTATTGCTAATGTGCCTGGGCAATGTTTCAAACACGAGCAAAGCGATCCCTTCCTCCTGGCATGATTACACTCCCGTACCCCATTATGCCTCCATTGTAGATCTTTTGTTCAGTTTTTCGTTTTTGTTCGAAATCTTTTGCGGAAGGAAGTACTGGGTGAGGACTGCATCTTGCATTCGGCAGTCTGCGCATCGGCCTGGGTGTTAGTGTAGTAGCATATTTGTTTTAAAGTATGCCTGAACTCAGACGCACTGCAGATGAAAATGGTCTTCTTCACCATACCCCAAAGCATTAAAGCATGGGATCATGAGGAAAGGGAGTTTGCCCAGGCACGAGGAGAAGGGTAATGATAGGAAACCTGCACTTAGCCCCTGGATCCCTGCCGGCAGGGTTGCTTCGGGTTTAGGGTGTAGGGGATAATGGTTATATAGGGGTTAATGGAAAATAAAATGGAAACTACAGGGATTATAGGGTTATATTGGGCTTCACCTTTCTTCTTCAAAGACTTTCGCGGTACCCTTTGCTGGGCTGCTATGAAGGAACTTAGTTTTACAGAATAGGTCTTTTTTCGCGCGGGCCCGCGGGCACGCACCCTTAAAGCGGGACCGGGACCGGGCCACCGGGACCGGGCCACCGGGACCGGGCCACCGGAGTTTGCAACTTCTGGAGGGGGTTTGAGAGCACGCGACTTCTTGGTCTCGCAAAAGGCTGTATAAGGCTTTGTGATTCTTCGTGGCTAGTGTTGCA